GTGGAGTTGTGGAGGAATAGTTGGTGGAGTTGGGGAGGGATAGTTAGTGGAGTTGGGGAGGGATAGTTGGTGGAGGTGGAGAGGCATAGTTGGTGGAGTTGGGGAGGGATAGTTGGTGGAGTTGGGAAGGGAGAGTTGGTGGAGTTTGGGAGGGAGAGTTTGGGAGGGATAGTTAGTGGAGTAGGGGAGGGATAGTTGGTGGAGGTGTGGAGGAATAGTTGGTGGAGTTGGGAAGGGAGAGTTGGTGGAGTTGGGGAGGCATAGTTGGTGGAGTTGGGAAGGGAGAGTTGGTGGAGTTGGGGAGGCATAGTTGGTGGAGTTGGGAAGGGAGAGTTGGTGGAGTTGGGGAGGCATAGTTGGTGGAGTTGGGAAGGGAGAGTTGGTGGAGTTGGGGAGGCATAGTTGGTGGAGTTGGGAAGGGAGAGTTGGTGGAGTTGGGGAGGCATAGTTGGTGGAGTTGGGAAGGGAGAGTTGGTGGAGTTGGGGAGGCATAGTTGGTGGAGTTGGGAAGGGAGAGTTGGTGGAGTTGGGGAGGCATAGTTGGTGGAGTTGGGAAGGGAGAGTTGGTGGAGTTGGGGAGGCATAGTTGGTGGAGTTGGGAAGGGAGAGTTGGTGGAGTTGGGGAGGCATAGTTGGTGGAGTTGGGAAGGGAGAGTTGGTGGAGTTGGGGAGGCATAGTTGGTGGAGTTGGGAAGGGAGAGTTGGTGGAGTTGGGGAGGCATAGTTGGTGGAGTTGGGAAGGGAGAGTTGGTGGAGTTGGGGAGGCATAGTTGGTGGAGTTGGGAAGGGAGAGTTGGTGGAGTTGGGGAGGCATAGTTGGTGGAGTTGGGAAGGGAGAGTTGGTGGAGTTGGGGAGGCATAGTTGGTGGAGTTGGGAAGGGAGAGTTGGTGGAGTTGGGGAGGCATAGTTGGTGGAGTTGGGAAGGGAGAGTTGGTGGAGTTGGGGAGGCATAGTTGGTGGAGTTGGGAAGGGAGAGTTGGTGGAGTTGGGGAGGCATAGTTGGTGGAGTTGGGAAGGGAGAGTTGGTGGAGTTGGGGAGGCATAGTTGGTGGAGTTGGGAAGGGAGAGTTGGTGGAGTTGGGGAGGCATAGTTGGTGGAGTTGGGAAGGGAGAGTTGGTGGAGTTGGGGAGGCATAGTTGGTGGAGTTGGGAAGGGAGAGTTGGTGGAGTTGGGGAGGCATAGTTGGTGGAGTTGGGAAGGGAGAGTTGGTGGAGTTGGGGAGGCATAGTTGGTGGAGTTGGGAAGGGAGAGTTGGTGGAGTTGGGGAGGCATAGTTGGTGGAGTTGGGAAGGGAGAGTTGGTGGAGTTGGGGAGGCATAGTTGGTGGAGTTGGGAAGGGAGAGTTGGTGGAGTTGGGGAGGGATAGTTGGTGGAGTTGGGGAGGGATAGTTAGTGGAGTAGGGGAGGGATAGTTGGTGGACTTGGGGAGGGAGAGTTGGTGGAGTTGGGGAGGGAGAGATGGGGAAGGATAGTTGGTGGAGTTGGGGAGGGTTATTTGGTGGAGTTGAGGGGGGTTGTTGGAATTAACCCTTTAACTGACCCACCTCCAATGCATATTCAGACCTCAGTCTACCAAACTGAAGATAGACCCATCTTCCTTCTCCTTTAATCCCCCTCCATTTTCTCTTCTCTCCTTTGCTCCTACTTCTTTTTGTTCCTCATCCTTCCTGACCTTATAGAAGAACACTGCTATAAATATAGATTTAATCATTGCGTAAAGTGTTACCTTAGTCATTTATGACCTAGGTAATAAGCTCACGTGACACAGAACTCTCAGACACTGGAACAATAGCTTTATTGCCATATACCAGTGATAGCGATTTTATAGTTTCCCTTTTCTTCTTTTTTATTGGCACATATAACTTTGCATGCAGTGTAACCATTGTGCAAGCTGTACAATGTTACTGAACAGCAATGATTATATTCCATTGCAAAACTTAATAAAGAAAGAAGTCTTGGCAGGCTTAGCTCAGTGTGAGTTGCATTGTATTTATACCCCCTACAGCAGCCTGAAGAACCTTTTCTGACTGGAACAGCAGTAAGTACCAGATCCTCACACCCAATTGAGCTAAGCCTGCCAAGACTTCTTTCTGTTTTTTATTACTGGGGTGTGACCTGGTCACCTGGACAGACTGCTGAGTGGTCTTCAGCTGGTTCCTGATACTTGCGACTCAACCTGCTGTTCTGATTTCCTCTGTTTGACCCAGCTTGCCCCTTGGACCTGCTTCTGGAATTTCCCTACTCAGTGTGACCCTGGGCTGCATATTGGTCTCTGCTTTTTGCCTGCTGATTTTGCACCTCACTGCCCAGCTGTTACTGACCCATGGCTTGCTTCCTGACACTGCCTCTGTCTGCTGATTTGGTACCTTGCTGCCAAGTGTTATTGACCTTGCCTCAGCTCTTGACTCCGATCGGGTACTGAGTGTCTGGTTTCTGCTCAGTGATCTACAGCCATCCTGGTCAGCACACCTGAACAACTGACTCTGCTTGCAACTTTGGCCCTTGTGCCACTCTCCTCACATCTGTCACCGTTTCCTGGGGTGTTGGACAAGGAGTGCAAGAGAAGCCCCTCATTACTTTAGTTTCCACCCCGGTACATGACATCTCATTTTCCATCCCATGTACATTTCAGATAGATAGACTTACAACTAGGTGGTCAACTGATTAGTTTTCAACTTAAAATTCAAACCTATGGCATCCCAGGTTTTTAAGGCTATACATTCTAAGGTTTTATACCACATTTTTAAAGTCCCTTTTTTTCAGTGATACAGCTACAGCACAACACGAAATGAGGGAAATGGGGGTCACTGGAACAGGAAGACACAGGCAGCAATAAAAAACAAACAGAAGATCTTACCTCTCTATGCTTTTGCTGTCTGTCACATTGGGAAGATTTTCCTTTACTTCCTGTCTTGAGACATGGCAGGAAGTGTGAGGAGAGCTCTTTATGATAAGGGAAATCCTCACTAGCACAGTTGTCACTTGAACAAATGTAACTATTGCAAAATAAATTCCTCTATTCCTGTGACACCTCAAAATTTCAGATTTTCCCTCACTTCCAGTTCTGGAAACAATGGTCACCAGGACATATATGGGCTGATTTGTAAATCAGCTGTATGCTGAGTGGATGCTGTTTGCGTTGTATTACTGTTGTTCGATGGAGTCGAGGAGCATACGACATTTCTATGCTCACCCAATTCCTTGCATGACAAATGGGTCCAAACCCACAGAAATGCATACCATATGCCCAGATGTGGAGAGCAGGACTATATGAAGTGTTTGGAATCCAAGACGCAATGCAACACCTTGTCATCAAGATTCTAAATGGTATGTTGCATAACTAATCACCGGAGTCTTCACTGTGCAAGGTGGTAGAGGACTGCATGTAAAAACATCAGAGAACTACTTTGGCAGGATATAGGATACTCATTGTAGCTGTGTGTGTGGCATGAAGAAGATACTTCCATCCTAAAGTACTAAAAACCATGTGCAGGGGTACACAAGTACTGTGTTTGGTTCCAACGGAGGAGAAAACTGGGAAGAAGGGAATTCTGGTGGGTTCACCTCACCACCACAGTCAGTGCCATCCCTATAGTGAGGCACACTGAGGTGGTTACCTAAGGTGGTATCTCATTTGGTCACATGTGAGGGGGAGGGGGAGACAAACCCGTTGCCTTAGGGTCAATGGGTCACATGAAGGGTGGGGGTGGCAGTCCTCTTTCTGCCCAGAGAGCTCTTAGAAACCTGTAACTCTCTGGCCGGTGTCCCTCCCTGCTCCTGACAACCAATGATGTCAGTGAGCTAGTTGGCATGCTTCCTTGCTGTGCAGCCCCCCTCGGTAACGTGCGCTGCAAACACCACCTGGTGACATGCACCACCACCAATCATCGCAGTGGCGTCACTAGAGGGGTGCAGTGAGACCCCTGTGACACCATTGTAGGGATGACACCAAAATGACTGATAGTCATTTTGGTGTCACCCCCTTTGAAAAGTCAGGCACAGAGAGCCCGACAGTTGCACGAGAGATAAGGTATGCCCCTCCTTTCCCTGCCGGCATCCATCACCAAAATGGCTGCCAGCAAGTGACAGAGCGTGACGTCATGTGTAAAGACGTCACAGTGGGGTGTCACCCGGTAGCCACTCCGGATGACAATCCCGCCTTGGGACACCACTGAATCACCGCCAACCCATCTATCCACCCAGGGGCGTCCCGAGGCTGGGTGACACCCGGAGCGGTAACCGAGCGTCACCCCGCCGAGACGTCACTGCGCATGCGCGTGATGTCACCACGCGCATGCGCGATGGCGTAATCGCGCACGCGCGGCGGTATTCTGATACCTGCAGGTGGCTATCTTGGTGATGGACGCCGTCAGAGAGAGGAGGGGACAGTCACCCGGCAGGATAAGGTATGCCGCCGGGTCCCCTCCTCTCTACTGATACTGTCGGGCGTTCGGTCCATGACAGGATTTGGTGTGAATTTGATTAGATCGATAAAAAGAACATCCAGGGACAAAAACATGTCCAAGGGCAATATGATGTATAGTTGTATACATTTTTATATTCACATTTAAAAAACATTACTTGTTAAAAACATGAAAATACAAAGAGAAGATAACGTAAACATTAGTAGATCCATGTGATATAGAAAAACAAAGAACTTTTCTGAAGCCGATATAAAGTAATAAAATGGACAAATCTTAAAGACGTAAAAATCTGGTGAAAACGCAATCCCGCGGCGACTTCATTACTAGAACTGGATTGCAAAATCCTTTCAGTTTGCCCTTTAAATGCACCACTTTTAGATATAAATCAGATAACACGATATCATCTATAATGACCACATGGTGGGATGTAATAGTCCGAGAAAAATGCAGACATTGATCATTGATAGACATCAAGAACATTTCAAAGAATGGAAATTTACAGGAGATGGGGGGGCATTTTTCCTCCTACATGAGTGCCTATGATGCAGGGGAGTGTATGGAGGAAGATGCTAACCTGAATTCCTTTGTGTCCAGAGCCTAGGAATCTTCTACATTTAGTATTGAACACTATTCTCCACGTCCTTTCAAGTCATGGATGGTGCTCCTGGTTGCTTTGTTCAAATCTAAGATTGATATCCTGTGCTCTCTTTGTACGACTTGTTGGTTCACTGTGTACACCTTGCAGTGTCTCCCTAAGCCTGCCTCTTACCTGCAGCCTGCATCGCTGCTCCCCTCCCCTTACCTGTGCTTCAGTTGGACCAAGGAAAGTCTGAACTGGTTTTTTTCCAGATGAGTCTGGCAGCCAAGGTACCTGTCACCCGTCCCTCCCTCTAACCTGGGAAAACGACTTCGCCTTTGATCGTAAGAACAGGTAAAGTCACAACAGTCCAGAGGTGGCAGAGCTGCATTTATATGCGACAGTGTTTCTCCATCCGGGACTCAGAAAGGGCTCGTTCACACCAGTGGCAATGGGATGCGTTGGGCAGCGTTGCTCAATCCAAGATATCACCAGCACACAATGTTCAGATGACAAGAGAAGACATTGTGGGGCCACTAAGGACCTCCTCCTCAGGTAGCAGTGACGGTGTGCTGTTGCTGTTGTATTTTCAACAGTATGTTGTATTGGGACTTATGTTGTGGCGCCATTTCACCATAGCACCATTTACGATTGGGTCTAAATGCTGTGTGGAGGGCGCTGGATTTCTTGCATTTATGAACAGCATTGTCCAATGTAAAACCAATGCAAAAACACGGCAATTTGACTTATATCCTATGGCTTCAGTTCAACTCGGCATGAGCGCAGGTTTGGACTGAACCTGCTCCAAATTTGAGCTCCTTCAAACATTGGAGCTGCATAGGTCTCCCACCCATCTTATGGCTCCGAGCTCAGGTTTGGACTGAACCCGCTCCAAATTTGAGCTCATTACAACATTGGAGCTTCATGGGCCTCCCACTCAATCAGCTACAGGTCGGAGCATTGTCGGCATGCTTGTGCTGACGTCATTTATCTTTTACCACCTGGCCATATTAGGTCAATGTAATTTATCTCATGTAGCCATTTAAGGTCAATTGCATGCCTGCACCCCGCCCTTTGTTTATGTCAGGCTGCGCATGGGGAGTGTCGTCCACCCCGCAGCTGACTGACTGGGGTCGGCCAGGTGGTAAAAAATGACATCAGCACAAGCATGCCGACAATGCTCCGACCTGTAGCTGACTGGGTTCGGTAAAGAACAATACAAATACATAAATAAACAATATTTACATATAAATGTTTATAAATACGCATAGTATATAATGTATATTTGTAAACATTATACGTGAAAACATGAGGCATAGGGAGCTTTGTTGGACTTACGCATGCGCAGTCGCCATCAGATGTCTGGACAGGCGAATGTGTGGTAGTCCGTAAGAGTTCTGGACTTGGAGCCACTGATAAGCTGCGTTGGTTCATGAGATTTATGGACCTGATGCCACAGTGTGCTTGCATGCACAGACGAGCCCTTTACACGCTCCCACACACACTGCTGTAAGTCCAGGAAAGTCACGGAATGAGAGGACGCTGGAGGCCATATGATGAAGACAAGTATGCATTTGAGGAGGGGGGCATTTAGGCTCAGGAGGAAGTTAAAAAGAAGTGCACTTAGTGCGGGGACGGTGTTAATGGGCTTTGAGTTGTGTTGATGGCATCATTTTGAGATGCCTCTGAGATCATTCAGAGTTCATTGACAGGTGCCTATGACTTGGGGTTGACCTCCTTCTGACCTGCATATGACCTGCTTCAAGCACTTTTTTCATTCCTTTAGACTTGCCTGAGGGTGCAAACAAAAGCCCATCATCCCAGGCCCTGAAAAAGACAATCAAGGTTATTTACTAAAGGGTGAAGAGTTTGTAGAAGTGAACAATCTAGGACAACATAGCTGAACCTGAAAGTGAGCTGAATTGGAGAATTTTTCCAAATCAGCTATTTTGGTCTAGATTGGTCACTTCTCCTGTCTTCTCCAAACCCTTCACCCGCTTGTGAACAACGCTGAATGTATCAATGTAGTCAGTATAGGCTGCCAAATAAAAAATCCTTCATTTGCACAGTTGGTATGTTCTGTTCTTCCAAGTGAACTGCGTAACCTCTAATACCAGAGCTATTACGTTCTGACCTCATTAAAGGAGAACTATGAGGTGAGTGCTTTTCACTCACCTCAAAGTTCTAGCCGACCTGTGACAATGAGACTGTCACAGGTCGGCTCAGTAGATCGGGAGGTGAGCGAACACATACCGGCGTTCGCTCACCTCTCGATCCTGTCACGGCTCTCTGCA